AATAGCGAGTTGAAAAGCGTTGAACGCGTAGCGTCGGGCGCCTACGTTTTTGTAGGCGTTTTCGATGCGTGTTCCGTTGCGTCGCAGTTCATCCAGCACCTTCTGGCACTGCTGGTCTGATAAGTTGTACTTTTTCTTGACCAACAGCATCTCTTGATAAGTGACCCCCATCGATGTGCGATCCTTGCCACTCTTGCAACAGATAGCCACATCTCCGTGGCAGACGAACGCTAATTTCATCGCCAAATGCAACAACTCGACGTTTTTCCACCGCTTGAAGCCTATCTCCCGGTCGATACGCATCAGCAGGTCCTTCGCGGCGGCCGCCTGCTCCACAGTGCATGTCACTTCGAACCGTTCAAAGTAGTCCTTTATCTTTGTGAAAGCTCTCTGGTTCATCTCCTCTTCGAGGGTACAGTTCAGGAGTTTGACGGCGATCATCTGTTCGTGGTTGATTCCAACGTTCAGCATCACCGGAAATACTCTGAACCACTTGCCTTCTCGAATATCCACGGAAAATTTGTCCCACTTTTCAGGGGGCACCGAAATGCTTACCTGAAACAAATAAATTACAAAAATCGATCCCTAACCAGCTCGTACTTAAATAGCATACGTAGGTTACCTACGCATAATCGCCTTGCATAAGAATTTTTTTTTGCAGTTCAGCTACTAGATCATAGTTTACGTGTATCCTGTGAAGTAGCAAGCTTACAAAACTGCCTTAAAAATGAACAACAGTCTATGCATAACCGCCAGCTAGAAAAAAGTTCCTCATTAGAAAGAAGCCAGAAAATTCTTTCAACCCTGATATCAGATTTATGTCAGTGATACCGAAAAACCTACTTTACCGCGATACTGTAGTAGTGTAAGTTGGAACATCGGGCTGTACGGCAACAATGCGCCGTTACTTGCTCTCAGTCACCTATGTGTGGCAGTTAAGCAGACCGCAGCTCTACGGTGTTTAAGCACCTGCAGTGTGCATAGGACGTACACATCCAGCCGCTGAGTGGTACCGAACAAGAATATATTCCGGCACTAACAAATTTACCACTATCTGTTGGCACCCCCTATAGTGAAAGGAGCTACCAATACGACAGCATCCGATTTCACCGCCGGCAGATATGT